ATGGAGGACATTAGGAGAAGGAAGGGAAAAATGAAGGGGGGGGGAATCGGAGGGAGAGATGAACCATGAGAGCCTATGGACTCTGAGAAATAAACAGGGTTTTAGAGGGGAGGGGGGAGGGGGGATTGGTTAGCCTGGTGATGGGTATTAAGGAGGGCACGTTCTGCATGGAGCACTGAGTGTTATACGCAAACAACAAATCATGGAACACTACATCAAAAACTAATGACATACTGTATGGTGACTGACATAACATAATAAAATTTAAAAAATTAAACAAAAAAACCACTTTCCAAAATGGAAACTTCTCTTTGCAAATACCGAGACATTTTTAAAGCAGCTCTGGTAGAAAGCTTCCTGCCACACATTCTTGCCTTGGGGACCAGAGGGTGATGTTCACAATTAGAGATTAGACACGCGCAGAGATTCTTGTGTGTGCTCTTCTGATGGCCGCTGTCTCCTCCCACCGCTGCCTGAGCCATCCTGATCTACCCGGCTCTGGGGCCTTGTGCCGTCAGGCCCCCAGAGAGAGGGCGCGGGGGCAGAGCTGCAGGTGGAAGGAAGCAGGGCGGGCAACTCTGTCACCCGGGTCAAGTTTGCAGCACAAGTCCTGGCACCGATAAGAGCTCAGTCTGCCATGGCTATTCCAACCATTCTTATTTTTATACGAAGGAGACGATAAACAACGGACCACGGGAAACACATCTGCAAAATCAGGTGTTGGGAGGGTAGGAGGGGCTGAAGCGACATTCACGGGTGCCGCAAACCTCAGGAGAGAAGAGGTGGGCAGAACTCAGCATGTCACAAGAAATCGGCATGAATAATGGCCTCTTTCTGGAAGGGACGGGGAGGGCGGGGGAACCATAAGGTAGGAAACATGAACATCCACCAACAAAGAATAGGAAGGAGGACTCGACACAAAATTTACAGGTGCCAAAGTTACGCTCTCTAAGTACTTATTGGTAATGGACACAGTTCAGAATGCCAGGTAATTCTTCTCTTACAGCCAAGGGGCCAAGTGCCTTTCAAGATTCCCAGCCTGACACATAGTAGACACCCAAGAAAAATGTGATGAATGCATAAATGAACAACAACAACAACAAAAAACCCTACTTCCTTTTAAGTACCATTAAGCCACAAATTGCCCAACACTGACTGGGCCCAAGGAATGTCTTAGCCCGTAAAAAACAGCTTCTTCCTCGCTGGGGGAGCTCTGTGTAATGATCACATGTGGGAAGGATGGGCTTTGCAAGGCATCCTGGGGAGCCAAACGACAGCCCAAACTGGTGTATAGGCAGCTTGTCCTCCCACAGGTAACCGACCACCTGAGTCCAGCTTCTCGGCTGCTCTAGTCTCTCATTTCTGGAGACGAGTACATGGCTTTGTGTGAACTATTTTCACTGGGTTCAAAGCTCTCCTCCTTAACGTGTTGGGATCTGCAGGAAGCAAGGCCTTCAGAGCAGAGGGGCGCTACCACACACGCTTAGAAAAGCACCAACTGACAGAGAGACGTGGGGTATTAGGTCAAGAATTGGCATTCCAATGCCTGTTTGTTAATAGAGAGCAAAACCTTGCAGTATGAACTTGAAACATGAGGACTCTATGTTTTCCCTTAGACGAGGATGTGATGTTGATGATAGCACCACCACCAATAATCATAGCTGCTGCCAAATACTGGGGGTCCTGGGGCCCTCCCAGGAACTAGCTATGGACCTCAACAATTTGGTACCATGTCTCTTGGGTATTATTAGCCTCACTGTATGGATCAGAGGATGGAGAACACAGAGGTTAAATAATGGTTTCTAGTCAAACCATTTATACGGGATAGCACCAGGATTCAAAGTCTGTCAAATTCCAATGCAAGTATTTCCTATATTTTCTTATAGAAAATTCCCAACACACACAACCACAGGGGGATGAACCCTCAGTGTACACATCACCCAACTTCAATAATTATCAATTCACGACCAGTCTTAGTTCCCCTCTGTCCCCACACACACTCCACACCCTGCCCTTGGAATATTTTGAAGCAAAAGCAGAAGTCATAGCATTTTATCTATAAATATTTTAGAAGGTATCTCCGAAAGATAAAACCCTTTCAAAACACAAGCACACCACCACTGTGACATCAAACACCGAACAGTAAGTCCTTAACGTGACCACACGCCAGGCCATGTCCTTGTGCCTCCAGTATCTTATTTCCCATAACTGACCCTTCAAATCAAATTTAAGTCACTGAATCCATGTATTAGAATGGACTGACATGTCTCATAAGACTTTTATTTATAGGTTCTCCCTCCGTTCTGACTCCGACCCCCCAACCCCGAATTACAGTTCTGTTGGGGAAAGTGGGCTGTTTGTCTGCAGAGTTTCCAATAGTCTGAACTTTGCTGATGGCACCACTGTAGAATCACTGAATGTCCACTGTGTTTTCTGGCCACTGTGTTTCCTGCAAGTTGGTAGATGTAGAAGCTTAATCAGATACCGGTTCCCTTTTTGGCAAGAATGTTTCATGAGTTATATGGTGTACTTCTAACAGGAGACACATGACGTCTGGGTGTCTTCATTATTTCTGTGATGTCAGTAGGTAAGGGATGGCCACTGCTGGATCCGTGACACCATTAGGGGCTTGCAAAATGGCGATACTGTCGATCTTCATTTGTTAGCTGGAAAACATCTATAAATAGAAGCTTCTCCTCACCAAACATTTGGTTATATTGAGGTATAGTTAGTTTAGAAAAGATTAAAATAACTATTTGACTCTGGGCCTTTATTTACCAAAACAGAGTTGATGCCCTAATATCCTACAAAGGTGACTGAGTTTTCTCCCCAATGTCAGTATAAACCCATGGACTGAAATATTCTTGATGTGTTTCACTGTACTTACTAAACACTAGCAACAGGCTCAGAGTTACGCTATCAGCCCCCCTCCCCACCGCCAACAACAGAGTAACTGAAAACAGTACATGTCTTTGCAGTTCTATTTGCCCTTAGCTTATACCCCACTAGGAGGAGCAAACTCCTATCTTAAAGTCTGTGGAAATAGTCCCTCTGTGTAGCTAAGCCATCATTTTGATATACAGTTAGAATCATTTATTTCACTTTCCTCTCAATTTTTAGGGCTTGCATTTTTTTAAACTTCGATTTTTTTTTTTAGTATTATATGAAATATATCCATGGTTTCAGAGTCACATCTGTACAACTGGATGTGCTAAGAGAAATCTGGCTTATCTCTTTATCTCCTCCATTTTGGTGTGGCCCTACCTCTCCACATAAAATGCCCCCCCCGTTTTTTATGACTATTTTATTTTGAAATATTTTTCGATTTACAGAAGAGTTGCAAAGATAAAACCAAGAGTTCCTATATACCCTTCACCCAACTTCCCCTTACGGTAACATCTGACGCAACCATGGTACAATTATCAAAGCCCAGAATTAACACTGGAACCATACTATTAACAACAGACTTTACCCGGATTTAACAGCTTACTCCCTGGTGTCCTTTTTCTGTTCCGGGACCCAGGGCTCAGTCACCAAGTTTCCATGGTGTCCTCCAACCAGGGACAGCTCCTCAGGCTTTCCTGGTCTTTTGTAAGCATGACACTCTTGAGGAATCCCGGTTAGGTATCTGATCACACACATCGACACATCATTTGGATACGTCTGACGGTTTCTCATGAGTAGACGGAGGTTGAGGCTTTTTTGAAGAATACCACGGCGGGGAAGGAGCATGCCCTTCTCATCACGTCAGGTGGCATACGATGTCACTGTGACTTACTGGGGATGCTAACCTCTGGTTGCACGGTTAGCATGGGTCTGCCAGATGCCTCTACTGAATAGTTACTCTTTCCCTCTGTGATCTAGTGACTATCTGGGGGGAGAGATTTTGAGGCTATGTAAATGTTCTGTTTCTCCTTATATTCTAATTTCAGCACCCATTCGATGGACTTGCCTGCAGTGATGATTACTATGGTGTTCTAATGCAAATTCTCTATTTCCCTCATTCCTCCCAAGTATATCCCTCAGAATTCTTCTGTGCACAAGAACTGTTCCTTCCCCACCATTTGTTCATATTAGTATGGACTCACTGATATTTATTTTATTCTTTGAGTTGTAGTACAACACTATCATTGTTTATTTTTCTTATTTTTTCAAGATTTTATTTATTTGAGAGAGAAAGAGCACACAGGCGGGGCAGAAGGAGGAGAATCAGACTCCCTGCTGAACACGGAGCCCTACTTAAGGCTCGAACCGGGACCCTGAGATCATGACTTGAGCCCAAGCCAGATGCTTACCCAACTGAGCCACCCAGGCGCCCTGATCATTGTTTAGTTATTTAAATTGTTCCGGCTCTGGCCATTGGGAACTTTTTGGGTTGTCTCTTGTATCCTTTTGACATGCCTCCATCTTTCGGGAGGTGGGGGTGGGGGAAGAATCATGTTGTTACTTTCTAGGACCACAAAATACTCTAGGATCATCTTACATATTTTCTGCCACAGCTCTGGAATTCACTTTTCAAAGGACCCTGGTTGCTTTTATTGGAGACTCCTATTAGAAACCGAGATCTGGGGAGGTGTACTCACGGCCACTGAGTGTCACTGCTTCTGGGCTCTCAGCACAAAAGGCTAAGAAACAAATGTACATGGACTGTGTATAGGCACACATCTGGACTTAGCACACAAGGAACCTATTCCTCTATCTAAACCTATAATACATAATAGGGCTGTGATAGATAGCGTGGTGCAGACACCTTTTCTCATTTTGTCAGCATTACTTTAGGGTACTTTTCTAGTGGTGGGATTGTTTAGTTAATGGATAAAAAAGTGCACAAGTAATTTTACTAGATGTTGCTAAATTCCCGTTCATAGAGACAGTAACATTTTGCATTCCCACCCGCAATGCATGCGATTGCATTTTCCCCTCAGCCTCTCCAACAGAGAGGATGTCCAATTCTGGATTCTAATAGGTAAGAAGTTCTCTCTCTGTTTCCATCAACATGTGCTATCATGTTTTCAGATATTCAAAGTCACCTGCATTTCTTTTTCTGTGAACCTTTCTTATCTCTTGCCCATTTTCCTACAGGGCTGTTGATCATTATTTTTACGAGACTTCTGTAACGTCAAGATACTCATCTGTTTTCTACTAAATGACCACAAGTATTTTGTTGTCATTTGTCTCTTGAGCTTTTTTATGAGTTCTTTTCCATAAGACTTTTTAAAATGTAGTCAGTTGTTCTCAATCTTTCTCCTTGATGAATCTGGATTCTGAGTCATAGTTAGGCAAGCTCTCCACACTCTGAATTTAGACATGAATTCATTCACTCGGGTTTTTCTTCTGGTATTCCTAAAATGTCACTGTTTTTACATTTAAATCTCTGATCTTTTCGCTCTTGCCTCTCTCTACATATACAAGCTAGCTATTCATTATTTTATGTTTATGTTTCAACCTGATGCTTATCATGCTAGTAGTTTTTCATTCCTTCTTTTGGATTTTCCAAAAATAGAATTCTGCCATCTTCAGATAGAGACCTTATTTCTTACCTTCCAATGCCTTTTTTTTTTTTTAAGATTTTATTTATTTATTGGACAGGGGGAGAGAGAGAGAGAGAGCACGTGCACAAGCAGGTGGAGAAGCAGAGGGAGAGGGAGAAGCAGGCTCCGCACTGAGCAAGGAGCCTGACATGGTACTCGATCCCAGGGATCCAGGCCACGACCTGAGCTGAAGGCAGATGCTTAACTGACTGAGCCACCCAGTCGCCTCTTCCCTTCCAATTCTTTTTTCTTTTACTTTGAAAGAGAGAGAGCATGAGCAGGGGAAGGGGGAAAAGCAGACTCCCCTGCTGAGCAGAGAGCCTCACACGGGGCTCGATCCCAGGACCCCGCAATCATGACCTGAGCTGAAGGTAGTCGCTTAACCGACTGCCTTCCCTTCCCTTCCAATTCTTAATGTCACTATTTACTCTGCCTTGTCGGACACATTGGCTGATACCTCCCAACTGATGTTCAAGAGCAGAGCTCCTGGGGCATCCTCATCTTGTTCCTGATTCAAGAAGACACCCTCCAGTGTTCCCTCACCAAGTAAGATGCTAGCTAGAAAACTGCATGGATGTATTTTTCCATGTTAAGGATATATTAAGGATATATTCACCCAGTTGTACCCTGTTTTTAATCGGCAGACGCTTAAGTTTGTCAAGTGCCTTTTCTGAATGTGTGAAGATAATCATTTCATTTTTCTCCCTAGTTCTATTATGATGATGGATTATATTAAAATACTCCCTCCTACTGAACCATCCTTTCCTCACATTCTGGAATCATCCTCACACTCTCGTGATGTATTATTCTTTTTTTATTTTAAAGAATTTTACTTATTTATTTGGGAGGGAAAGAGAATGAGAGAGAGAGAGAGCTTGAGAGGGGGAGGGTCAGAGGCAGAAGCAGACTCCCTGCCGAGCAGGGAGCCCGATGCGGGAGACTCGATCCCGGGACTCCAGGATCATGACCTGAGCTGGAGGCCGTCACTTAACTGACTGAGACACTCAGGCGCCCTGTATTATTTTTTTCATGTGTTCTTGGATTGTTTTCAAAGCCCTTACTCTTAATCACCGTATGCTGATGTTCCAGAAAATGCTTGGATAAGTGGTTCTCATCTGGGGGTGATTTGGGCTCCCGGAGACATCGGCAATGTCACAACTGGGGATGCCACGGTATCGGGGGGGTGGGGAGTGGAGGGGGCGGTCGGGTGGAGGTCAATGATGTTACTAAACATCCTAAAATGCACAGAATAGCCCCTACAACAGGTTATCATGTCAAAGATCACTGCTGAGTCTGGGAAACCCCACCTTACATAAACTGCAATTAGTCCGTGGAGGTGACACTTGGTGCTTGGAAAGAGACAGCTACTGGCTTTGATCACACAAATGTGTTTCCAGCCAGGGGACTGGTGCTAACACCCGAGGGTAAAACAAAGATGGCAGGTGGGACACATGTTTAGCAGCAGGACAGTGGGGCCTAGAATCAGAAGATGGAGCCCTTCCCAGTTCTTCCGGTGAAGACTCCTTGCCTTGCATCCTTCCCTCAGGGGCAAGAGCTGATACTCTGGATTGGTGAATCACAGAAATGCAAATACCAGTGAGAGACCAATACAGACATTCTCAATGCAACTCAGGGTAAGAATTTGCAGGCACAGCCCTGGTCTCACCCCTCCAACAGAAGACAGGCTTTGAAAAGATTTCCTAGTTTCCCGACCAGAAAACCCAGTCCTCTGAGGAGCCGCTGATTGTGCCCAGGACCCGGGCCTGCTCGGTATGTCATTTGTATCTGGAAATGTCAAGACCAATACCGTGCTTTAGAAAGTTACCTCCCACTTGGAATCTCCTTCGTTTTCCACCAACTTCAGGCCATGCTTGTTCTTCAGGTGTCTGTTGAACTCCCATTTGGTGCCGTAGACGAAGCTGCACACAGGACACTTCAAACCACCTGAAGGCACAGAGGAAAAAGGAGCGTTCACAGCACGGGGAAGTGCCACAGGGCCGCCTCCCATCCAAACACCTCAAGGCCAGGGAACGCACGGTTCTGTCTGCAGCGCCTACCTCTAGACCCAGCCTCCCTTCGCAAGAGAGCAGAACAGTGACAGAAGAGGTGTTTTCCAGGACAGAAATTTTAAAGCTTAATGTTTTTCTTTTCATTTTTGAACGAGCGTTTGCAGAGAGTCTAATATATATAATATTTTAGGTGCCAGAGTGACAGAATTCCCGTGGCCATGTGAATATGTGGCCTAAAGGATTCTTTCACTTTTTTTCGTTTGAAAAAAAGCAAATAACTGAAGGATAAGGCTGCTTTTCTCAATCATCTTTGTCCCCAAATACTAAGACCAAGAGCCAGATTCTCAGTCTCCTTCACATCAAAAGCTGAGCCATTTGTATAAATTCCCATTTGGATTTCCCAGTAAAGAACAAATTAAAAAGTTGGTCACATCCTGAAACGTCACTATTTATTGAGCTGATTACATTTTATACATGTTCTGTGAAGTGTTTGGATTTAAGAGCATGTAAAACTCTAGGGAAAAAAAAATAGAAAAAAACCTAAGAATCACACAAAAGATTATTTTTCTAAAATTCTATCAGGAGCAGCAACTAAATTAGTGACTGGGAAAAACCCACTTTAACAGGCTGTGAATTCAGAAGCAACCTCTAACTGCTGGGGAAGGCGTCCAGGCAGCAGGCCTCCATATCCACACAGATGATTAGCAGGCCAGAGTCGGCTGCCCCCATGAAGCCGCCACCCTGCGCTGGGTGGGAGCACGTGGGGGGCACAACCGGTTTCCCTGCAGCCACTGCTGGTCTGCTCTCCACCCCGCACACGGATGGGGCTTCTAAAAACACAACTAGGGGCGTCTGGGTGGCTCAGTTGAGCCTCCAACTCTTGATTTCGGCTCAGGTCATGATCTCAGGGTCGTGGCACTGAGTCCCACGTCAGGCTCTGTGCTTGGCAGGAGTCTGCTTCAGATTCCCTCTCCCTCTGCCCCTCCCCCATCTCGCAAATAAATGAGTAAGTAAATAAAATAAAAACACAAGCTGAATCACATCTCTCACAGGTGTAAAACCCTCCAATGGCTTTCCATCAGACCCAGAATAAAATCCCAGCTCTTTGCTGTGGCTGTGTGACCTTACTGTCACCCTTGTGTGACCTTGGAGGGAGTAGAGGAATTCCGCCCTGATGATGAGGTTGTCCTTACAAATTACACAATCACCAGGCACACTTCATGGGGATGCATAATACAATGTAAGCCTCTCCCAGATGCAAGTAGGATGTGAGTGATCTCCTCAATCAGTTCCGCGTCGGTGGGATCTGAGGGTGCACAGCTCTGTAACTGGGGTTTCCTGTCTATCACCCAAGGAGCTGAGTGACTCCCCAAACAGTCATGAGCACAAAAGGAAGCCGACCCAGACGGCCAACAGTGCACCCCCTCGTACCGTCAGCTCACGGCTTTACCGCTCACTATGCTGGGAGGGCACAGCACAGCACAGCGGGTCCGACAGAGACAGGATGGAATCAGCAGAAAGACTGGCAATACCAAATCATAAACTTCCAGAACATTCCACAGAGGAGGCAGCTCCAACAGATGCTTAGTTTCTGAAACTTGCACACTCTGCGCTCTTTTTTTAGGCCAAACCAAATGGGCTTGTTCTTTCCTGCCTAGATGATAATTAAAAGTAGTTTTGAGCTTCCTTTGTTATCACTTATTAATCATCTAAAATGATGTATTTTCCTATGGTCATCTTTTAAAACTCTCCAAGGTGTGAGAACCTCTGCCTTTTCATTTGGTTCAACTGACATAGCTCCCCCTACAAAGACTTAACAAGAGGCAGTGAACAAAAGCAACCTAAATGACATTAAAGACTCCTTCTGCAGGACTCTTTAATGGAAACTAATTTAAGGAGAAAAACATCCTTACATTATGTTTAAATTAAAATTAATATAATGCCCCATATTAATTAAAACTTCAACCTCTGCCACATGGCCTTTAATTAAAGAACACCATGTTGAAATACGTAATCTAAACTAAATGCAGAACTATGCCACTTAATTGACATCAAAGCTGAGAGAAATTAATTTCTAGTTCAATTCATTACACTCTTAGGCAGTGCACAGTAAAGGTCATGGAGGACTTGGTGCATTTACTTGTGGCGCTGATATAAAGTACACACCATAAAAACCGCAAACCTCTAAATCACAGTTTCCTCAGAAGGCATGACGAAGCAGCAAAAGCACAGAACTCCAGGCGCAATATGAAAAATCGATCATGGCATCTTTTGCTCTTTTTGGAATGCAGTGTTCTGGAAGAGTTTTAGGCATTAAAGTATCTTTGCTCCTTTGTGGTGGGTGACCTTATTGAAAATCCAACTTTATTTCCAATAACATGACTCCTGGAGCAGCACAGAGCATTGGGTTGGGCAGTCAGATGCCAGAATTTGGCACTTGCTCATGTGACCCAGAGGCCACTTCCTAAAACTCTAAGGGCTTTGTTTTCTCTAGGGGGAAATGTTAAAGCTCTTATCTTCAGAAAAAAGGCACTCCAGGGGCACCTGGATGGCTCAGTTGGTTCAGTGTCTGCCTTGGCCTGGATCATGGTCTCAGAGCCCCGCTTCAGGGTCCCTGCTCAGCGAGGAGCCTGCTTCTCCCTCTCTCTCTCTGCTACTCCCCCTGCTTGTGCTCTCTCTGAAATAAACAAATAAAATCTTAAAAAAAAAAAAAAAAGGCACTCCAGTAGGCAGAATAATGGACGCCCAAAGATATTCACATCAGGGAGAAAAGGGGCCCCTCGTGCACTGTTGGTGACAACGTAAATTGATGCAGCCACTGTGGCAAACAGTATGAAGGTTCCTCAAAAAATTAAAAATACTACCATCATATGATACAGCCCTTCCACTGCTAGGTTTATATTGGAAGTAAATGAAAATAGAATTTCAAAGTGATACCTGTACTCCCACGTTCACTGCAATGTGATTCACAATAGCCAAGATATGGAAACAACCTCAGTATCCACCAATAGATGAATGGATAAAGCAGTCGGGGTGTATACACACACACACACACACACACACACACACACACACACAGGAATATTAGTAAGCCATGAAAAGGAAAGAAATCTGACATTTTCGACAACATGGATGGACCTAGAGGACATTATGCTAAGAGAAGTAAGTCAGACAGAGAAGACAAATACTGCATTGTATCACTTATATGGGAAATTAAAAAAAAAAAAAGTTGAACTCATAGAAACAGAGCAGAAAAGTGGCTGCCAGGAGCTGGGGGACAGGGGAAGTAGGGAGAGATTGGTAAAGAGTATACACTTGTACACTTGCGGTTGTAAGATGAATAAGGTCTGAGGATCTAATGTGAAACACGGTGACAATCGCTGATAACTGAAGTTCGCGAAGAGAGCAGAACTTAAAACATTCTCAACAACAGTGAAAGGATTTTATTAGCTGACTAGAGGATGAGAATCCTAAATATCTTACAGCTTTGTGAATGACACCCCAATAATGCTGAAAAAAAAAAAAAAAGCAGTGGGGACCTGTCAGTAAATTGGCCTGGGCTCTATTGACAATGTGACCCCACATGAAACAGGTGGGGGTCCTGGCCCCCAGGAGCTGACCATGTGAAATGGAATGTGCATAGATAAACAACAAAGACAGTATGTGGGGTTTTTATTATGATGGAAAGTAAATAAACATAGAAAAAGAAAAACAAAAGAAAGATATTCAGATCCTGATCCCTGCAACAAGGGAGTGTTACCTCGCATGGCAAGAAGAGACATGGAAGTTGTGATTCATCAAGGACCTTGAGATGGGGAGATTATTCTGGATTGTCCAGGCAGGACTAATGTATCACAAGGGTCCTTACAAAGAGGAGGCAGAAGACGGGTCACAGAGAAGCAACAGGAGGAAGACTCACAGCCCCTGCTGGCCGTGAGGATGGGGGAAGGAAGGGGCTCCAGGCAAGGGCAGCCTCTGGAAGCTGGACAAAGCAGGAGAACACACTGCCTGTCCCCTGGAGACTCCAGAAGGAATACGGATTTGTTAGCAAACCTGACTTCAGCCTGTGAGACCTATCTTGGACATCTGACCTTCAGAACCGTAAGACAATGAATCTGTGTAGTTTAAACCACTGCCAAGTCTCTGGTCATTTGTTATAGCTGCAATAAGAGACTAATACAGGCACTCAACAGCAACCGGACCAAAGGAGCTCAATTATCAAAGGAAAGTGGATACAGAGCAATTTGATTATACAATATTAAGAAGTAAAATGTGGAATCAGACTTTGTGAACATTCTCACTTCTTGTCTCTTAATTCAGTGCCTGTCCTGGGACCCAGCCAGAGCCCCAGCTCAGAAGCAGGATTGTAATCTTAATCCTGTGCAAGCACTAGGTGGAGGGCCCTGGTCACATGGCATACTGTCAGACAGTATCTGAATCTCTCTCAAACCCCAGCCCTGCTTCCCAGAAGACGTTCAAGAAAAACAGTGTAAGGGAAAACAGCAGAGGAAAAACGAAGTGCATTTTATTATTAGCCAGGCTGGTATCCCAAACCCCAGTGAGGATCACTAGGGAAACAAGAGTTTAAACAAGTCTCTGCCATTCCTCCTGGTCCCTTTACACGCTCCCCAAAATCTTGGCATCTGAGATCCTCTGGACAACCACAGGGAAGCACTGAAAGAGAGACAGGTCCCAGAGTTAGCCTTGGGTCAGACCAGCAACTAGACCTGGAGACAAAGAAATAAGAAAAAGTCAACAGCACCCCAAGTGTCCGACCTTTCAACCCAGCATCATGTGACCATTAGCCAATGCAAAACGATCACTGTCCCAGAACAGGACCATGCCACTTCCCTCTCTTCCTCCTCCTTAACAAGTGCACACTTGAGACAAACTTCAGGGGGCATCGGCCCAGCAGCAGTAAGAATCCAGACTCTGAACCCAGAGCTGGGTGTGGCTCGGCCACCTGCTCACTCTGTTGCCTGGGCTGATCATTTCCCCCCTCGACTCTGTGTTTCCTCACTTTAAAACAGGAACAATGAGGGGCGCCTGGGTGGTGCAGTCGGCAAAGCGTCTAACTCTTGATTTCATCTCACGTCAGGATCTCAGGGTCCTGAGATCAACCCTCACACTGGGGTTCTCTCTCAGTGGGGAGTCTGCTTGGGACTCTCTCTCCCCGTCGCCCTCTGACCCTCCCCCCATTTGCACACTCTCTCTCTAAAATAAATAAATCTTATAAAAAAAAAAACAGGAATGATGATGTCAACCTCACAGGGCCTCTGTGAGAGCGAAATTAACATATAAGAACCAATAACACACATGATGACATCACAGCACTGGAAGCACCTGCCAGTAATATATGGAATCTGGGCCTTAATAAAAACAATTTTTAAAATCCAAATGTCCCAGAATCAGACAACTGACTTTTGTGTTAGCTGATAGTTTCTGGATTTCCTCCTATGCTATTTTCCCTGAATTTGGTGTGAAAAGCTAAGATACGGATATACATCGAAGATGCATACGTACACACAATTACATTCTTCTCATATGGTAGTTCAAAGTAACACAAACATTTTTTTGTTAATTTATTTATTTGAGGGAGAGGGCGAAAGAACACAAGCAGGGGGAGTGGGAGAGGGAGAAGCAGGCTCCCCGCTGAGTGCAGAGCCCAATGCGGGGCTCCATCCCAGGACCCAGGATCATGACCTGAGCCGAAAGCAGATGCCTAACCGACTGAGCCACCCAGGTACCCCCAAAATAATGCAAAGATTTTAGCAGATGCTGCAAATGAAGCCTTCTCCCTGAGCCTACTCCTCTCACTGCTTCCTGTCCCAACCACTACCCCTGCCTCAATGACCCTGTAACAGCGGGGGCTGGGAGAAGGGTCAGCACCGAGAAGAAGCCTCGAATTCTCCTCCTGTGAGCAGCGCACCTGCTGGGTTACAGTCAGAAGATGGAGCCTTGGAGGAGCTTCCCAGCCCTCATCCGCAGCCCAGGCCACACCAGCGATAAATGCCCCCATACCCCAGTGTCCAGCGCAGTGCTGAGCAACTAGAGCCCAAGAGAAACGTGGTGAAGAAAGAACGTGGGAATGAACAGGACTGTAAATTTGAGCCATTTATTAAGTGCTACGTGTCGGGCACAGTCTGGGACCTTAGAGAATAATATCTAATCCCTGTAGCTACTGCTGGGCAGGTATGAGCCCCTCCTCTTCGAAGATGTGGAAAGTCAATGTTCAGAGAAGTTAAGTCATCCCAGGGCCACAGTGATCAGACATCCCGGTTCCAAGTCCATCTGACCCCCCTCCCTGCACTCATGTTAACAATCTGGAGTGACTTGAAGGACCACTTTGAGGTCACTGGAAAACTGAGCGGGGGCAGAAATAACTTGAAACTCATCAAAAGAAAAGGAAGAATTCCAGTGGTTTCCGAGGACCCAGCATTCCAAACACAGTAACTGCATCCATCCCACTTTGCCCCTCCATTCTCCTTCCTTCTCCCAGACAGGGGAACAGCGTGAGCTTCGTGCTCTTGAGATGTCTAAGCTGCGCTCATGCTCAACCAGCTGCCTGATTCCAGAGACTAGCCTCCCGCCACAACTCAATGGCACATCTCTTACAAGCTAAGAGACATGTAGTTGTTTCCTTCCTCAATGCCTCAATGTCTCCTGAAGGGGGCACTGGAAACACACACACACACAAACACACACACACGAAAGAAGACCAGAAACACCCCTGCAAAGATGAAAATTAAAACCCAGACCCTGTCAGGGAATGCCACCCAATGACCGTCTGAGGAAGCTAACTGAAAACGTAGGGCAGGCAGCAGCTCGGCACCGCAAGGCAATGACAGAAGTTTGGAAGCAGAGAGCAGTGATAAGATCATCACTCAGAGCCCCACGCCTGTCCCAGCAGCCACAGTAAGGGCCTGTCTCCTGCCAACCCACCCCGACAGTGTGAAGGAATGTTAAAAGGAATGTCTAGCCTGCTTCTCCAGCAATCTACGGTGACTCTAAGGCAATTCGTTCTCTCCTCTGTGATTCCTGGATGGGGGTCATCAAAAATGATGCAATGGCTCTAGAGATCTTAGACGTTTTCAGGAGGAAAAAAAAAAAGAATGAAAATGTACTGAGTGTCACTCAGATGTTCTCTCCTTTGACCCTGTCCGCCATCACGAGAGGTGGCCGCTATCAGCTCCGTTTTTAGGTGAAGGCCCTGAGCTGCGGAGCCTGGGTAACTTGCCCAAAAGCCCAGCTAAGGGAGGAGGGCAGGGAGGTGAGCCAGGGCTCCCCCATGACACCAGCCCGGGCTCCAGCTCCAGCAAACAGTCCTTAAAATACAAGGCACACACGGCCCGTTACCCCAGATGAATGGCTCTAAAATTATCCTGAGTTTTCATGCTGTTATCTATTTCCATACATCAGCCCTGCCACGGAAAGTGCTGAAGGATTCAGTCAATTCATTTGTTTTATATTGAGATGCATTTCATGGCGATTCCAACGAGCGGGGCCTCGCTCTGCACCGGAAACTCAGAGTGCCCAAAGCTGCTGCAGAGTTAGCATCCCACACCCACGTTTACCGGGGGCAGATTTCTAAAACGGTCCGTGGTTTCCAAGAGTCACAGGACTCAGGAAGTAGTAAAAATGGCTGTACTGTATGTGGCTATCATTTTCTTAGTTGAATTAGTGAAGCGCGGATATAAATACAACAGCACTTCTCTGTCTGGCAACAGCACATGAGCTAAACCTTCTCAAATGGGAATATGTGATCATTTACTGAAACAGGCAGCAAAAAAAAAATCTCTCATACTTTTCAAAAACAGCGGTTTTCATCCATTCTCTTTTCTTTCTTTGTTTCTTTTTTTTTTGAGAGAGCGAGAAGCGGGGAAGGGGCAGAGAGAGAATCTTAAGCAGGCTTCACCCTCAGTGCGGAGCCCGATGCAAGGCTCCATCTCAGGACCCCGAGATCATGACCTGAAATCAAGAGTCAGACACCCAACTAACTGAGCCATCCACCCAGACACCCCTCATCCATTCTCTTTCGTTTAAATGTTCTAAATGGTTTATCCTTTTCAGGATGAATAAATAATCTGAGCACTCAATAAATATTTTTGGATCATCAAAAGAAGCTCACCTACAAATACGTTTACCATAGCATTATTTATAACTGCAATAAAGGAAAAATCTGGAAACCCTACAATGTCCAACAGGAGCATGGCTAAATAAATGAGGTCCTGACACGGCATGCTGGATCCCAAAAAGCCTTTGGGAGTTATAACGAGGGAGACCACGTGTCAAAAGAAAACAAAATGTTCACGTTAGCCAGGAACTTTCATTTCTGAAAAAGGTCCACAAAGACAAAGAACAGAAGGCAACACTGAATGCTGTGGGGGGGGTAGTAAAAACTGTGGGTAAATGATGACTTTCCTTCATTTCAGATTTCCGGTGAGGCAATAAGGAATGCTGATCCACAGCAATGGGGGTGGGGGAGGTGGAGAACCAACAAAACGTCCAGGGATCGGACTGAGCTGTAAGATGCCCAGCTCCACCCGGGGGGGCACACTGCCTACCTTGCTGGATGAGCGCGTCGGCCGCCAGCTCCCCGGTGCCCACATTGGCGTACTCCTCGTTGGGGTGCTTCCGGTTGTAGTGCCGCTTCAGAGAGCCGGATATGTTACAGGAGTAGTGGCAGTGGGCACAGCGGAAAGGCTGCAGGGACAAGGAGGACGGGTTAGGGAAGGGGAGCCCCAGAGGAGATCAAGCTTCCAGGGAAGAAGAGGTGTAACTCGCCCCAGTGTCTTCCTCCACTAGTCTCCCACCCCAGGGAGTCTGACATCCCAAAGCCTGTGATGAGCAGGCTGCCCCCTGGGGAAACACTCCGGGGCGGGGGGGGAGGGAGGAGGGGGGAGACACGCAACCTCAGGATGCTGAGTCCTGCCTCTGCGGGGACCATGCAAGGTGCCCCCAGAGCAGGCAGGGTCTCTGCTCAATTTGGATGCTTTCATTTCTTGTCTTATTTTGTCTGCTCCAGTTCTTGTTCAAGAAAAAATAACAAAAAAAGCAATACAGTAATCGATCATTTTCCTTTTTGCTGTTGTTCAAGTGAATGTCTTTCAAAGTAGCTCCCCTCACAATTAATTCCCCAATGTAATTGCTTCTTTAACTCAATCATTTCCTCCACAGCATTTACCTACAAGCACATGCATATACATAAGTATCCACCCATAGCTGTCCACCATTAGGGAAATCCACCTGGTCAATCTATTTCCAACCCCTTACCTGGGCAGGGCAAACACTTTCAAGATAAGGATGCCATGGGTCATGCAGCCCTGCTGCGACCTTGCATTGCTTTGGGGGGCTCAGAATGAGTGGTGGGGAGGAAAGGGGTGGCTGCTCAGGCCCCTTGGGGAACCCAGTGAGACCTGGCCATCGGATGAGTGATGGACAGACATCTGGATCACGGTCGTGTCCCACACCCTGACTCCCAATCAAGACAGTATCAGTATCCCTCTGAACCACGTGCTTTCCGACCGTCCAGCAGAGTGCTACATGAATCCCAAGTGTGGGAGCACAAGCAGCTTGCTGGCCCACAGGGATGGGAGAGAAGGAGCAGTCCATGGCAGGGGATTTGGGTGGGACAATGAGAAATGCTGGCTTTCTCCAAGGTTCTGTCCTTGGGCCTGTTTGTTCTCCTGCTGATCATTTTGACAGCTTGATATATATCCAGTTGTGATCTCTCCCAAACCACAAATAGGAATTTTCAACCGTCTTCCAGGTATTTCTACAGGGATGCTCTGTGGGCCCCTCCAAATAAACATACACAATTTCAGACTCACTTTCTGCAAAATCAGCTCATCACCCGAAAGCAGAAACCTGATCATCATCCTATACTTTTCCTTTTACTATTCAACTAATTATTAAGTCTTGTCCAGGCTTCCTCAGAAGCCTCCTCAGAATTCACCCTGCTCCACCCCAGCACACAGAAAGGCGCCATCCTGGCCTATTAAGGAAATCCCGTCACTCCCAGGAGGGCCGTTCTCAGAGAGAAAGACACAAGGAAGTCAAAGCAGGGAGAAAGCCTGAAACGTTCCCTAGGGACTCCAAAGTCCACAAGGTGACTCTCTGGTCACGGGATGCTCTGCACCACACGGCACGTGCTGCACTTGGCCCTGTGGCTCAGCCCACAAGGACTGATTAAACAAAAGGGACCTGGAACAAAGGCAAAAATTAACCAGGCTCTCTCATCTATCTACTGAGCAGAGAACAAGACGTCCAAAATGCCAGCATGTGATTATTTGCAAAGTTAAAATAGAAGCTAAAACATTTTCAAGTGCTTTCATCTCCTAAATAGGCAAATATTATGAAATTATCCTTAGAACACTGGCATTTACACAGAAATCAAAAAGAACAATCGAAAACACTCTAATACTAGCGCTGAGTGGTCAGGGGGCCTAACAGGCAGGAAGGGGCAGCCACAGCGAGAACGGGTCCTACAGACCGAACTCCAGGCTCCGGAGACAATTTCACCCTTCTTGGGGCCACGCACATCAACTGCTTTGTGAAAGTTTCAACTCTTGTATTCCCAGGACTTGCTCCTCAGTAGAATCGCTAATGAGGAGAAAAACGGCCAAAACGTGAGCAGACACAAAGTATACAGGTGAGCCCAGCTGTGACAGACCGACCACCAACTTCTACCCGAATCCTCAATTCTTAAAGCTGGGGGAGACGCTTTCAAAGACTGGCCAATCTTCGCTCCACAAGGACACTCTGTAGCCTCCGAGAGCGTGTGATCATAGCCTTTGGTGGATGCGGGGAGGTCAGCAGCCCCGCAGATGCTCGCCAGCACTGAGGGTCAGAGAGACGCACCGCCCTGCCTCTTTCCCTCAGGGCCCTTCCACGGCCTCAGGGCCCTTCCACGGCCTCAGGCCCACTGCAACCTCTCGGTGAAATCAATCACCACTGAACTTCTGCTCGGGGTCTTCTCCCCATAACTTTGGTCACTGAGCCGCATCTGAGCCCTTCAGACAAAACAAGGACCTGTGAGGAGGTGTTGCCACGTGTCAGCAGGGAATTCTGCTGGGGCTGTCACAGGCCTGGGGACAGAGGTGGAAGAGAGTGCAGATGACATCTCTACGCCGCTGGTCAGACATCAAGTCTGACAGCACTATTAATACTGCAAGTCTTGAGATTTCATTCGTGAAGCGTGTACTTACTGCTCACCTGAGTCAGCAACTCTCCCACCCTGGGCACACAGTGACGACGGAGAGGGAGAGGGAGAGATTTGGGATTTTCTGAATTCACACGAGTTTGGGGATGCAGATGTCAACTGCAGAGTGCGATGCTATCCGGGCAAACTAAATCAGAGAACTTGGTGTCTAAGTCAGATACTGGTAAGTAGCAAATGATACCAGATCTTCAAAGGGAACTTATTTATTGAGAGCTTTCAGGCCAGAATCTGCCCAAAAGTTAGGAGGAAGCTACAAGCACCTACAACAGTGGAGTTCGCGTGGAACAAAACATCTAGGTTTTTACTGTGGCCAAAAAATAGAGCGAATCACCCACAGGGCATGCCTGCTATTCAGCATTACACTGGGGTTATTAAGAAATGCAATCAAACATAATACTTACGACTGTTTTAGCTAACATACACTGAAAGTGACCACAGGCCAGGTCGTTCTCAGTGTTTTGTGTGGACTAATTCCTATGAGTCTCCCAAGCACCTACTACGGTAGGTATGATTACCCCACCGTAGGACAGATCCTAGTCTTACAGAGGAGGAAACTGTGGTGCAGAATGGTTAAGGAAGTCACAGGAAGTATCACAGTCTCCCAGCCTGACCAGTGGTCTGCACTGGATTTTGGGCCCCAGCAATAAAGAGATGATCTGATCTCCCATTTGCCAGTATTTCCTGAACAACTATCTGCCCTGGGAGCTCCATCAGGAGAGGCACGGTGTGGTATTCTTGGATTTCCCAAACATAAGGCAGCCCAGTTCTAACCACCAGCTTCTAAAAATGAGAGGCGCCACGGCGGGCTGGGAGAAGGGTGGACAGTTCCTGGGCAGGGACCACTGGGGGTGGAGAAGACACAGTAGACAGCCACCAGATCACAGTGGGACATGCCAGCAAGGTGGCTTCAGGAGACGTCTGTCTCCCCCAGGGTCTTCAACACTTAGAATTACCACTCTGAAAGTTAATGGACGGTGGATTTGAAAGGAACAGACTGGAGACAGGAACCAACTGTCTAGTTGCAGGGGTGAAGACAAGAGATGCAAATACATCTATAATACAGACCTATGGATTATAGATTATCTATCTTTATATAGACATATACGTGTATTATGGATAAATAATACAGATATTTTTATAGGGCCTATAATGAGAGAGTAGAACAAAAAAGTAGAAAAGGGAGAGGCTTTAAGAGAGATGGGGGAGGTAAAACCAGCCAGACCCAGTGACTGAGGGGCAGTGTGGGCAGATGAAGGTGGGGCGCCCCCAGAATGACCCCCAAGTCTCCAATGAGGACGACACAGGAGGAAGGCATTGCTCCAGCTGTGGATAAGGAGAGAGGGGACAGTGTGAGTGGAGAACTCTGGACATCCAGAAGAGTGCTTCCAGAAAGAGAATGGAGAATGAGTCCTAACTCAGGAAAGTTCTGAGCTATAGATAGAGATCTGAGCACAGGCAGCTAACCGAGGCCCTAAGGTGGAACACCCATCAGGAGAGGATGTGTAAAGAGAGAAGCAGCATGAGAACAGCACCCTGGAATATGGGGAACAGGCAAGAGGATGAGCTCGTGAAAAAGGACAAGAAAGACTGACAGGAGGAATCAGGGGTGGGTGGGGTCACAGCATCTAGGGAATAACGTCCTTCCTGGAGGGAGGGATGACAGAGTCGAATGCACTAAGAAATCCACTAGGGTAAGGCCTAACAAGGGTCTGTGGGACTGGGCTGTTAGGGAGTAGGCAACAGTGGCCATACTAAGAAGAATCCCAGTAATGTGTTAAGCACAAAGGCCAGGTCAAGGAGAGAAGGGAAGGGGCAGCAGCTGGGTTTTGGGTCATGTTTCAATGATGTTTCAAGAATTTTTCTCTAAGATACAATGAAGATCATTAATTTGAGTTGAAAGAGAAAGTGCAATTGAATTTATTGAGGCTGAAACTCAAAGTTCTCAGATTTACTTTTCACAATTGGAGGATTTACTGTTCTGGTTCTTCAAACAGGAAGACTGCAAACAGAAGAGGATAGGCAGTCCTATCTCACTCGTGAAACTGGGCTCTGGGCCTCTAACTGCATGCAAGCAAGGCTAATCCAACTTCCCATCAGCATCAAGAGGAAGGTTTTTTTTTTTTTTTTAAAGATTTTATTTATTTGACAGAGAGAGATACACAGCGAGAGAGAGAACACAAGCAGGGGG